TCCTGCCTGCAATATTCATTTCAAACTCCTCCTTTATCATAATGTTCAGGTATGACTGTGGAAACTCATTCTTGGCTGCAATATTAATTTCAAATTTCAAACTCTTCCCCTTTATCACCACACTCAGGTATGGCTGTGGCAGTTCATTCCTGGCTGCAATATTAATTTCTAACTCCTCCTTTATCACAACACTCACGTATGACTGTGGATGCTCATTCCTGGCTGGAATATTCATTTCAAACTCCTCCATTTTCACACTCAGGTATTTCTGTGGAAGCTCATTCTTGGCTGGAATATTCATTTCAAACTCTTCCCCATTATCACAATACTCAGGTGTGGCTGTGAATGCTCGTTCCTGGCTGGAATATTCATTTCAAACTCCACTTCCCCATTAGCACAATGCTCAGGTGTGGCTGTGGGTGCTCAATAATATTCAGTATTCATTTCAAACTCTTCCTTTATTACAACACTCAGGTACTGCTGTGGAAGTTCATTCTTGGCTGCAATATTAATTTCAAAAACTCTTCCCCTTTATCACAACACTCAGGTACTGCTGTGGAAACTCATTCTTGGATGCAATATTCATTTCAAATTTCAAACTCTTCCCCTTTATCACAACATTCAGGTATGGCTGTGGAAGTTCATTCCTGGCTGCAGTATTAATTTCTAACTCCTCCTTTATCACAATCCTCAGGTATGGCTGTGGGTGCTCATTCCTGGCTGGAATGTTCATTTAAAACTCCTTTTCCCCTTTATCACCACACTCAGGTATGACTGTGGATGCTCATTCCTGGCTGGAATGTTCATTTAAAACTCCTTTTCCCCTTTATCACAACACTCAGGTATTCCTGTGCAAGTTCATTCCTGGCTGCAATATTAATTTCTAACTCCTCCTTTATCACAACATTCACGTATGGCTGTGGATGCTCATTCCTGGCTGGAATATTCATTTCAAACTCTTCCCCATTATCACAATCCTCAGGTATTGCTGTGGAAGCTGATTCTTGGCTGCAATATTGATTTCAAACTCCTCCTTTATCACAACACTCAGGTATTGCTATGGAAGCTGATTCCTGGCTGGAATGTTCATTTCAAACTCTTCCTTTATTACAACACTCAGGTACTGCTGTGGAAGTTCATTCTTGGCTGCAATATTAATTTCAAACTCCTCCTTTATTACAATACTCAGGTATGGCTGTGGAAGCTCATTCTTGGCTGGAATATTCATTTCAAACTTCCCCATTATCACAATACTCAGGTATTCCTGTGGATGCTCGTTCCTGGCTGCAATATTCATTTCAAACTCCTCTATCACAACACTCATGTATTCCTGTGGAAGTTAATTCCTGGCTGCAATATTCATTTCTAACTCCTCCTTTATCACAACACTCAGGTACTGCTGTGGAAACTCATTCTTGGCTACAATGTTCATTTCAAATTTCAAACTCTTCCCCATTATCACAATACTCAGGTATGGCTGTGAATGCTCGTTCCTGCCTGGAATATTCATTTCAAACTCCTCTTCCCCATTAGCACAATGCTCAGGTGTGGCTGTGGATGCTCAATAATATTCAGTATTCATTTCAAACTCTTCCTTTATTACAACACTCAGGTACTGCTATGGAAACTCATTCTTGGCTGCAATATTCATTTCAAATTTCAAACTCTTCCCCTTTATCACAATGCTCAGGTATTCCTGTGGAAGTTCATTCCTGGCTGGAATATTCATTTCAAACTCCTCCATTTTCACACTCAGGTACTGCTGTGGAAGCTCATTCTTGGCTGCAATATTAATTTCAAATTTAATTCCCCTTTATCACAACACTCAGGTATTCCTGTGGAAGCTGATTTTTGGCTGCAATATTGATTTCAAACTCCTCTTATCCATTTTCACACTCAGGTATTGCTGTGGACGCTCATTCTTGGATGCAATATTAATTTCAAATTTAATTCCCCTTTATCACAACTCTCAGGTACTGCTGTGGAAGCTCATTCTTGGCTGCAATGTTCATTTCAAACTCCTCCATTATCACAACCCTCCTCTTCAAAAGGAACCTGAAATGACAATTATTGTTCTGATTTTTTAAAGATTTTTTAAGCTTTTTGATGTTTATGTTCTTGTAATGAACTTTCTCCCACACTTTCTGCAAATAACTTATTGTTTTATATTAAATATTTATTCACT